TTACCTTAACCCGAGAAAGATAACCTACGTCGCAGAGGCGCCTGCGAAGACTGTTGATTTTTGTTAATTTTTCATAGAGGTCTAGTGATTTAAGTTTAAAATTACTTAAAATATAAAAAAATATAATATAAATGCATTTTATTTTTACAATAATGCCAAACCTTTAAAATGACTAGATTAACTTAAATAAATATCCATTGTTAGTATAAAATTGACGCCTTAGAAAAGCATGCGCCTCTGAAGCGTATGGTTATCTTTTACGTACGTTGTCATATGGTTATCTTTCTAGGGTTAAACAGTCTTAAATCATTTCACCATAGCTGCTCAGTAAACTAGCGAAACGGAATTGCGATATTTGGGGACGCGCAACACCAACCATCTCCGGAAGCATTTAAACCTCGCCGTCCACGCTCCAGTGCTCAATAACTTCGAAAATACTACGAATTCCAACTCGAAATTACCCAGAGACCTATATAAAGGGTCAAACTGCAGGACTCCACGAAAGAAAGACGTATCCTTTTCACAAAAAAGAGAAGAAATCGCAATAACACTTTTATTTACTTTCGATAATTTTTTAAATACGAATGCAAAGATATTAAGTGAAGCTGCGCGTTCATTTCGCACAAAATTTACAAATTTGTCTAATATCGTCATAATGGCAGTATTCATAAAAATTATCTTATTTAAATAATTACATTTTTTATATTTAAATTCATTAAATGCAATCACCTGTACTAATAATCAAGAACAAAAAAGGTTCCGTAAAGAAACGCAGTTATATAATAAAAATTATTTATTATTTCGGCCACTGTATATATATGTAGAAGGAAGATGTTTTCTCTGCGTGAGAGCGACCACAGAGGAATAGCATTAAGAAATAAGTGAGTTATATATGGATCACTGGAATGCGAAGTTGAAGTTGAGATTTTATTTAAAAATATTGCTATGGGAATGCAAGCAGACTGGGCGAAAATATTTCAACTAAGAAATAAGTACAAATATTTGCAAATACTATTTTTTTCTTAACAATGTTACATATGCTTCGTTTGAAAAATAGTCATTTATTTCTGTATTAAATGAAATACTAGTTGAAATACTTCATTGACTCTACAATCATACAGGGTGGGTGAAAAGTCGTGGTACAGGGGCTGATTCAATCGGCCAGGAGATGATTCTAAATGGAGAAATAAGTCGAAAAAAACAGTAACATATTTTCATTTAATATTTTCTTTTCGAGATAAATAAGTTTAAAGATTCATCAGGTTTGCATGGCTTGTAGTATGACGAGAAATAGAATTGGCATGCGATGGTCAGATATGCCACTTGATTACTACTCAATAGTATTATTTTTTCAACCTATTTTTTTCTCGAAAACGAAGCCTTAAATGAAAAAATGTTATCCGTTTTCTTCGACTTATTTTTGCATGTGAAATCATCCCCTGGCCGGTTGTACGATTTTTCACTTACTTCGTATAATGAGTATTTTAAATATATTGTTTTACAATGTAAACCTGAAATACTCGATTGAAATAAATATTTTCTTTATTGTACGCGAAAAGAAACACTCGAATATTATTTCAAGACAATATTATTGAGATACGTAAATTGTTGAAAGCAAATAAATGTTAAATGTTCCAATTACATTAATTAATAAAGGAAAATTTATGAAAAACCTTATCTTTCAAATCAACACGTGTTTCTACTTTCTCTATATAGGTTTACTTTCTCTCATAAAGGTTAATCGTAAGAAAATATCATTTAAAATAATTAATAGGAACTTCGACACACGAAATAGAATTTCAAATAATTATTTCCGGTAAATCTTAAGAAAATACTACTTCAATTCATAATTTTCTTCACCACAACATACGTAATTATTTTCAACAAATGTACTTACCACTATGACGTCAAATAATTCTTGGAATACTATTTCGTGCAATCAAGTTATTTCATACCATTTCATAAATGATTTCCAATACTTTCCCAAATATTTTTACCCGGGTCAGGAGGCAATCTGTCACACACAGCGAGAAATCGCGAAAAATGCCGGTGTTTCACGTCGAATGGTACAAAGAGTCGCGAATTCTAAAGGTATCGAAAAAGTTGAAAATTGTGGATGATCCTAATTCAACGACAGGGGACCGTAAAATTTTTCGAAGACAATACATACCACTCGCTAGTAGATCTCGGTACGTTTAGGGTAAATGTATCAATTACTGTGCCCGTTAAAGTGACGTTCGGAGCTTTCAAATTAAATAGCTTCTTTTTATCCTGCATCGCGTTTCTTAAGATACTTCAATTATATGTTGTACGAATTTTTTCATAAGTGCAATATATAAACAATACAAAAAATTTAAATAAATTCTTCCTTAGAAGACAACACGTGTTAGTCGCTTTAGATCTCGGTAGGTTTAGTGTTAAACAACTAAATATATCTAAGAGGTCAATTGTATTATTGTTCATTTGTAACTTGTTCTAATCTTATCAATATGATAGTTTAATTTTTTCTATCGTAAAGCTTCGGTTTTGTATTTTTTTCAACTTTATTTGCAACGTGTTTCTCAAAAGTCGTTCAGCAAGATCAAAGCAAAAACACATCAAACCATTATCAGAAATTTAAAAAATTAGTTTTCGGTCATTAAGATTACAGATCAGATTTTATTGGAAGAATTCGATATCTTCAATTTAATAATGTTGTCTCCAAATATAGGGAAAATCATCGACACAGTAACCAGAGAAAGGGGGGGCACAGTAATTGACGCACTCGTCCTAGTGTTAAAGACAGTCGGAGAAGCACGAGTAATCGTTCTCCGGGCAAAGAAAATTATCCGAGATGCTCGTGAGCTGAAGAAGACTCGTAAATCATAGGATTTTGCTGAACACGGGGAACGTACCATGGGAATACTTGTTAGTCTGATGTTCCATAAAGAGCGTGCGTAACTCGTCCTCTTGGGCCTCGGTCCAGAGGCTGCGCGAAACTTTCTTGTTATCCGTTTCCGCGTTGTAACCCTCGACGACCTTCGTAGCGTCGTGAGTGGTCTTCCAGAAGAGCAGCTCCATGTATGCCTTCCGGTTCTTCTGCGCGACTTCGATGAAACGACGGATTATGAAGACGGCGAACTTTTGAAGTTCCTGCAAGGTAGACCGACGGTTTTCAGGGGGTCCAGGGGGGAGGGAGGGGGACCGCCATTAAGCGGACTCCGGAAATGTAAATTCCTTGCTAAAGTAGCCGAAGTTAATAGAAAAACAGAGTACACAGTGCGCGGGAGAAGATCAACATTTCCGGAGTGTTGATAGTGTCTAGACGAACGAACGTGACGGAGGACACTTTATCAAATCATGCCAACCGCTTGCCTTATCATTTATTCGACAGCTACAGCGGTTTCTGTTGCTTTTATGTGTGCGTGAGTGTTGATTTCATTTGTCCCGCAGCGCGGATGAATTTAACGAATGAGAGTCCTTTGGCAGTAAGCGTCGTTACGTAATTTACGGTGTGAATATTAATATTATATCGAGTGTCCTATATAGAGTGTCCAAAAATTATGGTAATTCCGGGAAACGGGGGGTTCCGGAGGTCATTTGAAGTAACTTTTTCCTCAGCGAAAATGCAATCCGCCGCTTCGTTTACAAGTTTTAACGAAACACAGCGAACCAATGAGAGGCGAGATCAGCTGACGCGAGGCGGCTGAGCCAATTAAGGGAACTGGGCTTTGCCGCACGTTGGCTCGGGCGCATTGTACCAGCCGAGCTCGCCTCTCATTGGTCAGTGTTTTTTGTTAATAATTCTAAAACAAGGCCGCGGATTGCATTTTTGTTAAGGAAAAAGTTACTGCAAATGACCTCAGGAATCTCTCTTTTCCTGGAAAGGCCATAATTTTGGGACACCTCATAAAATGATATACAGGGTGGGGTTCATTAGCGTGTGGGATCCATTTCAGGAATATATTCTACACACGAGAACAATAAAAAAAGTTCATACAAACATATCTTCTGTTTGATTTTGTTTTTCAATTATGGCGAGTTTCTTTCTTAATGCGCTGTATTTGCACACATTCACAACAACTCGTCTTAACTCGAGAACAATATTAAATAGAACGTATGTTTATATGCATTCTTTTTTATTGTTTCAATAAAACTGGTTGATAAATTACAAATTAAATTATCCGATTGTATTAAAATAGTTTTTAAAATAATTTTAGAAAAATTGTTTTAAAACAATCCTAAATTTTGAAAATACTGTTTTAAAATAACCCTGGATCGAAAAAACTGTTTATAAATAATCCAAAATTTAAAAAATCGTTTACAATGAACCCTCGTTAAAAAAAACTGTTTATAAATAAGCATAAATTGAAGAAACTGTTTGAAAGTAACCCCAAATTAAAAAAGCTGTTTTTAAATAATCGTAAATTGTAAAACTATTTATAAATAATCCTAAATTGCAAAAGAACTGTTGATAAATAACCCTAAATAGAAAAAGCTGTTTAGAAGTAATCCCAAATTGAGAAAAAGGTATTTAAAAATAACTGAGGTAATTAATAAATTGGATCGTGTAATATTACCTTGTGAGCAGGTTGCTTGGATTCGAGAATTCTTTGGAAAACTCTGAACATGGACGCCTGGAACATCATTCCAGGCATTTTGCACTCCCACGCAATCCGATGCAGCATCTTGTTAACGTAATGATTCACTTCATCCGTATTCTTATCGAATTGGCGTAGCAGAATTAGCATCGCTTTGACAATTTTCACGTTTGCAAATCTTGAACATAGAATGATCAAAACATTATAAATTATACTAACAGCAATTACACTAATAGCGGTTATATTCTAACGGAGTTAATTTAATATTGAAGCGGAGTCATGAAATATTATTGAACAATTTATGAGGGAATTCTCGATTATTAAAATTTCGAAATGATCGTTAGATAATAATTGATGATATTAATAAATGAATTATTCAAATAAAATTGGTTGCCGGATTACCTGTGAAGAAACTCAGAGAAATTGAAATTGGATTCAATCCTCGCCACTCTTTCCTGCGCTTCTTCCTCCTCATCTTCCTCCTTATCTCCTGGAATAATATTTTTTTTTGCACAATGCATTTAACGAATTTCATTCGTGCAGGTATTACTCTCTGTACGATCTTTTGTTTCATAATTTACCTGCATTGTCATTAAAAGCGTGCTCCGCGTTTTCAGCTTGGCTTTGCGTAACTGGATCGTCTGCGACTGTAACAAACAAGAACAATTGCATTGTTTTCTTTCGTTCTCTGAACACGCTGCTAATAAGTTCAACTTAATAAGAACATGCAAATTCGAAAGCCGTGTAAAAGTGAATCATACGTATTCGAAAAGCTCTGTGAAAATAAATCAGCCGCAGGGTAAAGTTGCCTAATATGATCACTTCTTCTAGTATTTTTACAAATTATTTTTACAAATGTTGCATGGTAATAAGGGATTTCAAAATCAGATTTGTTTTCTGCAAATGGAATGGCTTATCTGTTTTAAGGTAATTCGAAAGCATCGATTTATAAAAATAAAATTTATTTATGATTTAAAAAAACAATGGGTCTCATATGGGGCACCTTAAGTCTACTAGAAGAGCACGGTGAAGATAAATGAACCGCGTTAGGAAAACTTTGTAGAAAGAAAAGAAACACGTTGAATTATCGACACGGAAATAAATAAAATGCTCGTTGAAAATCCGCGCAGAAATAAATAAAATTCGTGTCCAAAGCCTACAGAAAGATGAATAAAATATATTGAAAACTGTTTCAAAAATACGCAAAACGCGTCAGAGAAATCCGAGAAAAGAGAACATGTTGAAAAATCCGAGAAAATACAACGTGTTGAAAAATCCGAGAAAACAGAACGTGTTGAGAAATGAAAGAAATAGAAGCTCTGTTAAAAAATCATGAAAGAACAAAGCAAACAAGACGTGTTACAAAAATTGCGCAGAAGTAAATGAGATGGGTGGAAATAAATAAAACGACTTGAAGAAAACCGTATAAAAGGGCATAGAAAGAGTTGAGAAACCATGCAGACACCAGACGTGTACTAGAACAGTGTGTAAATATTGGACTTTTTCTTTATTAGTGTTATTATATAATAATAGCATAAACTCGTTTATAATAATTTTATCTCACAATAAACGTACGATACCAAAACAAGTAATAATAATAAACATCAAACAAAAAGGATAATAAATGATAATAATTCGATTTGATGCATTTACGAAAAAATTAGTAGGCGCGATTTAAGGTAAGAGAACAATTTGAGTGACTGAAGAATGTCGATATACTATTTTCAACTTGTTAAAATTATTAACAATGTATGAACA